GCATAATGGATTCTGCTTCAGCCCCTTATTTTAACTCTATATATGTCTCTCTGCTTCAGGTGTGTTTCTTGTTAACAACATATTGTAGTATTCTGATTTTTAATCCACTCTGCCATCCACTTCCATTTTCTGAGTTCCTCCCATTCACATTCAGAGTTATGATTATTGTGTATTCCCTCCATCCTATTCTCTCTCTCTCTCTCTCTCCTTTGCTCCTATCCTTCTTCACAAATGCTTTTCTTCTGACCACCATCTTCCCCAGTCTGCTCTCCTATCAGTCTCCCCCCCTTCTCTTATCCCCTCCCCTCTTACTTTCTTATAGGGTAAGAGATTTCTATGTGAGTGTGTATGTTATTGCCTTTTTGAGCCAATTCCGATGAGAGTAAGGTCCAAGCATCGCTCACCACTGCCATCCCCATCTTTCCCTCCACTGTAATAGTTTTTTTGTGCCTCTTCCTGTGACACAATTCATCCCATTCTGCCTCTCCCTTTCTTCTTCTCCCAGTGCAATCTTTTCTCACCCCTTAATTTTATTTTTTTTTGGACATCATCCCATCATAGTCAACATACACCTCCACCCTCTGTCTATGGATACTCCTTCTAATTGGTCTAATAGTGATAAAGTTCTTAAGAGTTACAAGTATCTTCCCATGTAGGAATTTAAACTGTTTAACCTTACTGAATTCATTATGTTTTTTCTTTCCTGTTTATCTTTTTATGCTTTTCTTGAATCTTGTATTTAAAAAATCAAAATTTCTGTTCAGCTCTGGTCTTTTCATTAGGAATGCTTGAACATCATCAATTTCATTGAATATCTATTTTTCTCCCTGAAGAATTATATTCAGTTTTGGTGGGTAGGTGATTCTTGGTTGTAATCCTAGCTCCTTTGCCTTCTGGAATATCATATCCCAAGCCCTCTGTTCCTTTAAGGTAGAAGCTGCTAAATCCTATGTAATCCTGACTGTGGCTCCATGAAATTTGAATTGTTTCTTTCCGGTTACTTGCAGTATTTTCTCTTTGATCTGGGAACTCTAAAATTAATTTTGGGAGTTTTCATTTTAGGATCTCTTTCAGGAGGTGATTAGTGGATTCTTTCCATTTTTATTTTACCCTCTGGTTCAAGGATATCAGGGCAGTTCCTCTTGATAGTTTCTTGAAATGTGATATGAAGGCTCTTTTTTTCATTATGGCTATGAGTAGTCCAATAATTCTTTCTGGATCTATTTTCCAGGTCAGTTATTTTTCCAATGAGATATTTTACATTTTCTTCTAATTCTTTTATTCTTTTGACTTTGTTTTATTGTTTCTTGATGCCTCATAAAGTCATTAGTTTCCCCTTGCCCAATTCTAATTTTTAAGGCGTTATTCCTCAATGAGCTTTTGTATCTCCTTTTCCATTTGGCCAATTCTACTTTTGAAGGAGCTGTTTTCTTCAGTAAATTTTTGTAAATCTTTCCCCATTTTTTTGCTTCCTTTACCAAGCTGTTGACTTTTTTTACAATTCTCTTGCATCACTCATTTTTTTTTCATCTACCTCTCTTATTTGATTTTTAAATTCCTTTTTGAACTCTTTTGATTCTTTTTGGGACTGAGACCAATTCACATTTTCCTTTGCGTCTTTGCATGCAACTATTTTGACAATACTGTCTTCTGAGTTTGTGTTTTGATCTTCCTTGTCACCATAGTAACTTCCTATTGTCAGGTTTTTTTTGTTGTTGGTTTTTTGTTTTTTGCTTTTTATAGCCTATTCCATGAGTTTTAATTTTATGTTAAAGTTGGGCTCTGTTCCTGGGGTTGAATGGGCACTGTCTTAAGCTCTGTTCATCAGGATTGAGGGGCCTTATTGCTGGCCTGTTCCATGGCTCAGGGCCTCACTACTGGCTTGCTGGAGCACAGCCTGCTGTTGGCTTGCCCAGACATTGCCTGCGCTGTACTGTGCTCTCCTTTTACCTGAGTGAGACAGACTTTTCCTGCCAATCTTCTAAGTTGTCTTGGGCTGGAATATTGTTTCACCCGGTTCTTTGGTTGATTCTGCCACTCCAGAATTCATTCTGAAGTAGTATTTTATAGTTGTTTGGAAGTGAATTTGGGAGAGTTCAAGCAAGTCCCTGTCTTACTCTGCCACCTTGGCTCTGCCCTCCTACTAGATGATGTAAAGAATCACCTATATACTCCCCCACACAAAACAGAAACTCACAGAACTAATGGAGTCCTTTAGAGATCCACAGATCAAGAAGTTCCAGTAGACTGTGTGTTAAATAGAGAAGTACAGAGCACAATTAGCTGCCTGTGGAACTTTCAGGGCAATTCCAGTACTCACTGCCCATATGAGCTTTATGTTTCTCCATCTTGAGTTAACTATCAGGTGGGTGGCATACTGTTATCTTCAATACTCTGAAATTGTCACATTAACTCTCAATTCTTGCAGAGTTATTTTTCTTTATGATGTTATAAACTACATGAATTGCACTGGTTCTCAAGTCTTTCAAAGTTGTTTTTCCTTATAATGTTATTGTATAAACTGTTCTCCTGGTTCTATTCACTTCACTCTGCATCAGTTCATACAGGTCTTTCCAGTTTTCCCTGAAACTGTTCATTCAGTCGTTTCTTTTAGCACAGTTGGATTATACTAACATACCATAAATTGTTTAGCCATTCTTCAATAGATGGTACTCCCCATTTCTAGTTTCAAGTTTTTTGCTACTACAAAAATTTTTGTACATATGGGTCCTTTTCCTTTTTCAAAATATACTTTGGGGTTATAAGCCTAGTAGTAGCATAACTGGGTGAATGAGTATGCACAATTTAGTCTATTTTGGGGCAGTTTCAAATTCCTGAGTATGGAGCAATTCACAGCTCTACCAATGGTCAATAAACTTATTAAATGCCCACTATGTGCTAAACACTGTGCTATGTGCTAGTGGCACAAAAAGACAATCTCTGCCTTCAAGGGCTTTCAATTTAACAGGAAAACAAGCAAATGTATACACCTAAAAAAAATTACAATATGGGATAAATAGAAAGTAAATGAGAGGGAAGTTGCTATAATTAAAAAGGGTTGGAAAGGCTCCTGTAGAAGAAACAGGGCATTTGTGCACCTGTTTTCTTGGTCTCCCCACTCCTCCCCAACCATGTCATTTTCAGTTATTGTCATCTTTACCAAATTGCTGGGTATAAGGTGGAACCAACTTCTTTAATACGTATTTCTCTGATAATTAGTGCTTTGGAGCATTTTTTCATTTGTTTGTTGATAGTTTGGACTTATTCCTTTGAAAACTGCTTGTTCATGTCTTTGGTGATTATTAGGGAATGGCTTAGTTTTACAAATTTCAATCAGTTCCTTTCATATCTTGGTTGTCATATTTTTACCAGAGAAACTTGCTGCAAAAAATTTCTCCCCAGTTATGTTTCTCTTCTAATTTTAACTACATGGGTTTCTAGATATGAATCTTAAATGAGTGATCACCCAACCACTTTTGAACATACACAGTGACAGGGAACTCATTACCTACAAGCCTCACCCATTCCATTTTTGAATTGCTGTTATAAAGTTTCTCCTTGTATTGAGTTAAAATAATCTATCCATTATCTTCATTCATAGGCTCTAGTTTTGCCCTTTGGGGCCCAACAGAATAAATTTAATCCTTCTGTGATAACCCTTTAAATATGTGAAGATAACTATGTTTTGCCTGAGCCTGAATTTCCTCTGAGGCTACTATCAATTCTGTGCATTACCATCAATATCTCATCTTATTAAATGCAAAGTCAGGCTAATGTGAAAGTTTGGAGAGTCAGGCAATAAAAATTAAGAGAACGTTTAAGTTTACACTCAAAGCATATACAATACCTGAACTCATAACATGTAATAGATATTTTGGCAACTTACTCTAAAGTTTCAGAGTAACAATGTACTATAAATGACAGATTATTTTCAGGGCACATGGCTTAAAATAATGAGATACTTCTCAGGAACAGATGAACAGCAATGAAGTGGTCTTGAAAGCCTACCAAACTCTGCACTCAGTTTCTTTTATACTAGACGATATATTTTATTATTTTTATTTCTTCCAATTATTATCTATTAATCAATTTTACTATTATCAGTTAAGCCCTATTTCCAACTAGCCAGTCTAAGTTGAGGGTGACATAAATCCAAATGCCCCCTATAACTTTATTTTGAGGCAAGAGAATTTGGCTCCCCCTCTCTTCCCACGATAAAAGGTTAACAGAATTTTCTAAGAGAGCTTCAGCAGATACATTAATCACCTTGGAAAGTTCAATTGAGAAGTGGGATTAAAATACTCTCTATGATCAAAGGTCTTAGGCTGGAAGGAGCTTTTAGAGATCTAGTCCAACTCCCTCATTTTACAACTGAGGAAAATGATGCCTAGAGAAGTGAATTAACTTGCTCAAGGTCACAGAGAACTACATTCCAAGTTTATCATTTCTTTCTGCTACAGCTCATCTTTGACTCCATGTGTTTATACTAACACCTGCAGAGTTGTTTCTTTAAAGTTCTTGTATTAGTAAGAAAGCTTCTTACCAAGGCTAGGGTTCTTCTGGCGAATACCCTCTGCCTAGCACTATACATAACCAAACACTTAACATACTTTTCAATTGCAATGATTAAGACAATAGAGAGGGAAAAGGAGAGAAAGCAATCTTCCAAATTTTCCTTACACAGTAAAGCAGGCTTAAATCCACAAATGAGCTATAGACATTTAATGAAAATCTATAGCAGGATGGTAATAAACCAGATTCCAGCTTAGATCAGAAGAAATAACTGATTTCTTTTCTTGACCAACTCATATTTACTCTTCCCTGAAATTTTTGATGTGTCTCCTTAACTGACTTCCCAATTTTGAAAATGGAGAAATGTACTTTTAATTTTCAAAATAGGAGCATAATAATAAAATGCACAATGATAGCACAGGAGTAGATTTTTAGGACCAGTTTAATGTTAAATAGCAAACCAAACCAAATTAAAAAAAAAACTGTCAGAAAAGTTAACACTTCTTAAGTTTATTTTCTCCAAGAACTATAGTTAATGAACTTTGTTCTTTACAAACACTATTATCCTCTAACTCCAATTTCTCTAATGCTTCCTGCAATTCATACTCTGGTTTATGTTTTTCAAAAAGTGTATCATCATTATCCGGCTGATTATCATAATATCTGTTGAGGAAATATTCCTGGGGGGTAATGTCATCATCCATGGGATGCTTTGCCTTCTTCATTTTCTTCCTCACCTGCTTCTGCAGCATGGCTACCTGCTCCTGCTCTTGCTCTGCACTCGCAATGCTTACACCTTCGTGCCCTTTCCCTTTGTTTCTTTTGTACTCCATTATCTGTTTGTGGAGTGCCTCATGGTCAATTCCAAAGAGACTTGGTTGAACGGTGGATTCTGACACACGAGATGATACAAAAGCTGCTGAAGCCTTATGTTCACTGTGAATTTCAGAAAAAAAAGAAATCATTAATCAACAGCATAATCTACCTCTTTAAACATCTCTACATTAAAATACTCTATATATTAACCCATTTATGCACATACCTTCATAAAACACTACTTAGGGTTATAATGAAGAACCAAAAATGTAGCAAGAAAGCTAACAATTTTTATGCCATTACTTTTGCTTCAGAATTAGTCAGCCTGAGCACTTTATGACCATACACGTGATTTTGTTGAGCACATTTCTACAAAGCCACTCAATACCTCATTAAACGCACTCCAAATGAATTTTTTGTACTTATACATGCCAGATGAATCAAGTGAATTGAACTACCCATTAACTTTAAGGGTACTCAACCAAGAACAGTTAAGAAAAAGAGGGACAATGTTGTCTTCCCTTTCAAAGCCATTAAGTCCTCTGCTACATGGACATGACGTGAAAGAAAATTCGCTACAAACAAACTGTATCTCATCTGATCACCAACAGAATTGAGGCTCTGCTCTTAAAAGAAAAAACACACTGGACTGTAATTGTAGGATGTGTTTTCCATGTGGTTTAAGGGTGTTTATTATTTGATTCTTTTTTGCTGAAAAGATCATTTCTTAGTAGTCAGAGGGAAAGGGCTCAACACAGCCACCCACATATGCATGTGGTACGACAGAAAGGATAAACAGAAAGCAGCCCCAATCCCAAACTGTGCACTCAGTCCCTTTTATACTAGAAGATATACCTTCTACTCTTCTAGGCATAGTGGGAGACTAAATGAGCATGGAACTGTATATACTGCTAGACTTCGTTGGTGTGTTGATTAGTTTTGCAGAACTCAATTCCTTTTCTCTTTGTGACAGGGATAGGTCATTCAGTAGCAAACGGGAAAGGGACATATTCAGAAACAAAGTAAAAACAAAAGCTATTAATATACATTTTGAAAAAACCTAGATGCAGAACTCTTTAGCAATTGATTTCTTATTTTCCTTCCTCTATCATTTGATAGTTATAAATTGTATTGCAGCAAGTAACGTATCATGGAAAGCCAACTGGTATTGTTTTGTTTGTTGCCAAGTACCATATATTATAATAATATATGAAGGTCAGTATCTCTTAACATAAATTTCTTTAATTGACTGGAAACCGTCCTGTCTTTATTCAGAATACACACTATTACTGAGCTCAAATCCACTGGATTCACTTTAATGGTGCCATTAAAAATATCAGCCTTAGCCACAAGATCTGTAGGAGGTTACTTATACTGTAAAGTGCTATTTCTCTTTAGCTAGGAAAGTCTAGAATAAAGGAAGGAATGGGTACTTTACTCCTTGCCCTAGACATCATTATTAACAATCTATGAGATACAAAAAAGGAAAATGTTCAAAATGTAGCTTAAAGTCATTGATTGTCCATATGGGGTAAGGGCAACCTTGTAAGGGTATGCCCTTTGTAAGGGCTCCCTAGAAAAAGAAAGAGATGGAGGCCCTGCTATTCTAGAGTTGTAAGGTACCTTAACCTAGGTTCCCTATAAGTGTTTCCTTTATTCCCTCTGTTTCAGATTCTTTACATGTGGCCCCTCTGCCTCAGTTTCCTTCTGACCCCGGAACTCTACCCCTGCAAGTCTCCTGTTCCCTTTAGTGAATTCCCCCCAGGGTATATATACATTTTGGGGAGGGGCCCAAGCCAGGCTTCTTTCATTTAAATCCTGGCTTTGCTTCTGACTTTCTGGACTTTGCAGCCATGCCATTATACCCTTATGCAGATCATCCCCTCCCCCTCCAATGCACCCTTTCTACCTTCCCCAATCCTTGCTTTTCATATCCCTTTTATATGTTGTCTTCCTCCATAGGAATGCAAACTTCTTGAAGGCAGAGACCAGCTTTCTTTTTTGCTTCTATTTGTATCCCTAGAAGCTGTGTGACCCTGGGCAAGTCACTTAGCCCCAATGCCTAACCAAAAAAAATAAATAAATATTTGTATCCCTAGAACTGAGCACAATACCTGGCACATAATAAGTAAGCCCATAATAAATACTTGTTGACTGACTATTCCTCACTTGCATCACATTAAGTTTGTGCCCACTCTCCCTACTTCACCCTCCATGGATGTTTAGAGGGCATACTTTGTAACTACTGTTCTATGCTTGCCATTTGAATAAATGTCTTTTCAAAAAGCTTTAAAAAAAATTCCAGATAAGTCTCACAGCACTCTAATTCATCCACTACACAGGTTCAAGTGATTTTCCTAAAGGCCTGGTCTCAATAAATTCATCAAGAGTAAATATAAATTATTTAGCATTTAAAACCCTTCACAACCTGGCCCCAGTCTACCTTATCAGTCTTATTACACATTACTCTCCTTCACACCCTCTACAAAACAAACTGACTTTTTTCTATCACAAGACACACTGCATCATATCCTGTCTCCAAGCCTGTGCATACTCCTCCTCACTTTAAGTCTTAAAATCCCTAAGTTTTTTTTAAGACATAACTCATGTGAATCAGGTAAGGGGGGAAAAATCTTTGCAGTAAGTTTCTCTAACAAAGGTTTCATTTTTAAGATACACAGGGAACTGATTCAAAATTATAAGAATAAGAGCCATTCATCAATAGTCAAAACACGTGAACAGGCACTTTTCAAAGAAAGCTATCTATAGCCACATAAAAATTGCTCTAAACTAATAATAATTAGAAAAGCATAATTAAAGCAACTCTGTGGTTCTTCCTCACACCCATCAGATTGGCAAAGGTGACCAAAAAATGGAAAATGAAAAATTCTGGCAAGGCTGTGGAAAAACACATTAATGAACCATTAGTGGAGCTATGGACTAGTCTAGCCATTCCAGAAAAAAATTTGGAATGTGACCCAAAACTTACGAAACTGTGTAAACTCTTTTGACTCATTAATAAAACTACTAGGTTCATATCCCAAAAAAATCAAGCAAAGAGGAAAAAGACCCAAATATACAAAAATATTTATAGATGCTCTCTTTGTGATGGCAAAGAACTAGAAACTAGGAGGTGGGTCATCAATTGGGGAATGGCTAAACCAGATATGGTAGATGAATGTAATGGAATACTGTTGGACTTACAAGAAATGATGAAAGGGATGGTTTTAGAGAAATCTGGAAAGACTTTTATGAAGTTATGTAGAGGAGGTCAAGAGAACAATTTATACAAATTACATTATTGTACAGACAAACAACTCTGAGACTTTAGAACTCTGATCAATGCAATAACCAACCATAATTCCAGAGGATTCATGATGCTATCCACCTCCTAACAGGTAACAGACTCAAAGTGTAGAATGAGACACATATTTTTGGATATGGCCAATAAGGGAATTTATTTTGTTTGGTTATACACGTCTGTAATAGGGATTTTGTTTTTCTTTCTCAATGGGAGTGGGAAGGGAATGAGATAGAAAGGAAAGAAGGCAGACTATCATTGAAAAAAATTAAAATGTAATTTTTAAAAAATAGAAAAAAATTATTTTGGCCAAAGAAAAATAGGCAACTCACATGATAACTTCAATATAAAGCCTTTACTAATTCTCCTAGCTCCTAATACCCTCTCTCCAAAAATCACCTTGTCTAATTTATATCTATATCTATATCTATACCTATATATGTACAAGTTGTCTCTCCAAACTGAATGTAAGCAAACTCATTGAAGGGAGTGACTATTCCATTTTTCTCTTTGTATCCCAAGTGTCTAGCATAGACTCAAATGGATCTGTGATTTCATGGACTTGGAAACTTCCACCCACAAAGCAGATCACAACCCATCCATATCTATCTCCTGTGCAATTCTATATCTATGTTCTCTTACACATTCACAACGGAGAATTACTCAATGTACTAGAGACAATCCTTAATTTTTCCTGATACTGAGAGGCTAAGTAGAGTAGATCTATGCATCTGGCTGTCCATCTATCATCTCCCACCCTGGCCAAGCAGCCAACCCAACTTTTTTTTTTTTTTTGGTGAGGCAATCCAGGTTAAGTGACGTGCTCAGGTTCACAAAGCTAGTAAGTGTCATGTGTCTGAAAGCTGGATTTGAACTGAGGTCCTCCTGACTCTAAGGCTGGAGCTTTATCCACTGTACCTCCTAGCTGCCCCCTAACCCATCTTTTGAACACTATTAAGTGTTAGGCACATAGTGGGATTATGCTATGATCCTTGTAGATCAGCTCTTGCACATTTATGACAGTCCATGATCATAATCTGTATCACTTCAAGGGATCAGGAAGGGAGGCAGAGTCACAATGTGGAGAAAAGGCAGGGACTCACTTGAGCTCTTCCTCAAATCCCTCCAAACACCTTTAAATAATTTCCCCAAACAAATTCTAGAGCAGCAGAACCCATTAATAAAACTATCCAAAAAAGGTTAGATTGAAAAAATTTTCCAGCCCAGGACAACTTAAAAGGTCAGCAGGAAAGATCTGTTGTACCAAGGCAGAGTGGAGTGCAGTCCAACACAGGCTGTGCTAGCGCAAAGCAGGCCCCAGCAAATCAGGAGCACGCCTTCAGGGCAACTCAATCTATGACAGCACTGGTGGTTTCTGGACCTCTCAGTCCACAGACGGTGAGGGGGTCTGATGACAACTGGTCAGAAGATTACAAGGGTCCCTTTGTTAGCACCAGGGGCAGGACTCTATTACGTTACCCATATTTGGATCTGGGTCACAGTCCTGGATCTCAGTCCCAGGTCAAGGAGAAGTACTACTACACCAGAGTTTGTGATGATAGAAGAGCTGGAACCCTGGTCACAGTTCCAGGGTGGAAAAGAGTACTTGTGGATGCTCACAGAGTAATGCACAGTAGAGGAAAGCAGTAAACACACCTCTCCCTAGATCATACCTCCTTAGAAGAACCAAAAACTTACAGGTCTCCAGAATTACCTCTGAATGCAGCTGCATAAAAAACCTGAAGCTTGGGACAGTGACCCTTCCACTTGAGAAGCAGTTCCCCACTTTGCCATTGAGTTAAAAGTCAAGAAATAGGCTGGAAAATGAGCTAACAGCAGAAAAGATCCTGACTATAGAAAGTTACTCTGGGGGCAGGGAAGATCAAAATATAAACTCAGAAGAAGACAACGAAGTCAAAGCTCCTACATCCAAAGCCTCAAAGAAAACTATGAATTGGCCTCAGACCATGGAAGAGCTCAAAAAAGATTTTAAAAATCAAGTAAGAGAGGTAGAAGAAAAATGGGAAAGAGAATTGAGAGTGAGGCAAGAAAATCACGAAAAAAGAGTCAATAGCTTGGTAAAGGAGGCACAAAAAATACTGAAGAAAAAAATACCTTAAAAAACACAATAGGCCAAATTGTAAAAGAGGCACAAAAACCCAAAGAAGAGAAAAATATCTTGAAATGTAGAAATGATCAAATGGAAAAAGACATTAAAAAATTTACTGAAGAGAAGAACTCCTTAAAAAGTAGAACTGGCCAAATGGAAAAGGAAGTCCAAATGCTCACTAAAGAAAATAATTCCTTAAAAATTAGAATTGGGCAAGCGGAAGCTAATGTCTTGATGAGACATCAAAAAACAAAACAAAACGAAAAGAATGAAAAAACAGAAGAAAATGTGAAGTATTTCACTGGAAAAACAAATAACCTGGAAAATAGATACAGGAGAGATAATATAAGAATTATCAAACTACCTGAAATTCATGATGAAAAAAAGAGTCTAGACATCATTTTTTTTTTGGATGAGGTAATAGGGTTAAGTGACTTGCCCAGGGTCAGACAGCTAGTGAGTGTTACGTGTCTGAGGCTGGATTTGAACTCAGGTCTTCCTGACTCCAAGGCCAGAGCTTTATCCACTGCGCCACCTAGCTACCCCCCAATCCATCTTTTGAACACTATTAAGTGTTAGGCACATAGTAGGATTATGCTCTGATCCTTGTAGATCTGCTGAGCTGCCCTTAGACATCATTTTTCAAGAAATTATTCAGGAAAACTTCCCTGATACCCTTGAACCAGAGGGCAAAATAGAAATGGAAAGAATCCATCAATCACCTCTTGAAAGAGATCCCAAAATGAAAACTCCCAGAAATACTATAGCCAAATTCCAGAGCTCCCACATAAAGAAGAACATATTGCAAGCAGCCAGAAAGAAACAATTCAAATATTGTATAGCCACACTCAGACTAGCACAAGATTTAGCAGTTTCTACCTTAAAGGATCAGAGGGCTTGGATATGAGCAAAAAGACCAAGGATTACAACCAAAAATCACCTACCCAGCAAAACTGACCATAATCCTTCAGGGGAAAAAGTAGGTATAATGAAATGCAATTGAAGACTTTCTTTTTCTTTTTTTTTTTTCAGTGAGACAATTGGTGTTAAGTGACTTGCCCAGAGTCACACAGCTAGGAAGTATTATGTATCTGAGGCCGGATTTAAACTCATATCGTCCTGACTCCAGAGCCGTGTTCTTTCCACCGTGCCACTGAGCTGCCCCCAAAATTGAGTACTTTCAAGCATTCCTCATGAAAAGGCCAGAGCTGAATATAAAATGTGACTTTGTAATATAAGACTCAAAAGAAGCATAAAAAGGTGAACAGGAAAGAGAAATCAAAACGAATTCACTGTCCTAAGGTTAAACTGTTTACATTCCTACATGGAAAAATGATACTTGTAATTCCTAAAACCTTTCTCATTATTATGGCAGTTAGAAGGAACATACATAGACAAAGGGCACAGGTGTGAGCTGAATACGATGAGATGATGATCTAAAAAAATAAAATTAAGGGGTGAAAAAGAAGAAAGCACTGGGAGAAAGGGAAAGGGAGAGACAGAATGGGGTAAATTATCTGACATAAAAGAAGCCCGAACGAGATTTTACAGTGAAGGGGAAGAAGGTGGAAGATGGGTGAGGGAGAAAGCATATGAACTTTACTCTCATTGGAACTGGCTCAAAGACGGAATAACATACACACTCAGTCGGGTATAGAATCTATCTTATCATACAGAAAATAAGAGGGGAAGGTGATAAGAGAAAGGATGATGGTGGAGGGGGGCTGATAGAAGGGAGGAGGTAAAAGCCAGAAGTAAAACACTTTTGAGAATGAACAGGGTGAAAGGAGAGGGTAGGATAAACAGAGGCAAAATAGGATAGAGGGAAATATATAGTTAGTAATCATTACAGTGAAAAATTTTTTACAGTAAGCTTCTCTGATAAAGACCTCATTTCTCAAACAGAGAAAACTGAGTCAAATGTATAGAAATAAGAGACATTTCTCATTGATAAATGGTCAAAGGATATGAACGGGCAGTTTTCAGACAAAGTAATAAAAACTATCTATAGTCATATGAAAAAATGCTCTACATCACTATTCATTAGAGAAATGGAAATTAAAACAACTCTGAGGTACCACCACATACCTATCAAATTGGCCAATATGACAGAAAAGGAAAATGATATATGTTGGAGGGGATGTGGGAAAACTAAAACACTAATGCACTGTTGGTGAAGTTGTATACTGATTCAACCATTCTGGAGAACAATTTGGAACTATGTTCAAAGGGCTATAAAACCATGCATATTCTTTGACTGCATATTCATAGCCTTAGAATATTAGGTCTGTATCTCAAAGAGATAAACAAAAATAAGTACAAAAATATTTACAGCAGCTCTTTTAGTGGTGGCAAAGAATCGGAAATGGAGGTGATGTCCATCAATTGGCTGAACAAGTTGTTGTATATGATTGTGATTGAACACTATTGTACTATAAGAAATGACAAGTAGGATGCTCACAGAAAAATCTAGAAAGACTTACATGAACTGATATAAGGTGAAATGAACAGAACCAGAACACTGTACACAGTAACAGCAATAATGTATGATGATCTACTGTGAACAACTCAGCTCTTCTCAGCAATACAATGATCTAAGACAATTTTGAAGGATCTGTGATGAAAGGTGCTGTCCATCACCAGAGAAAGAACTGATACAGCCTGAATGCAGATCAAAGATACTTTTCTTTACTTTTAAAAAAATTTGTCTGATTTCTTTCACAGCATGACTTACATAGAAATGTGTTTTGCATGACTACACATGTATAACCTAAATCAAAATACTTGCCTTCTCAATGGGGGGAAGGGAAAAGAGGAAGAGAATTCAGAACTCAAAATTTGAAAAAAAAAATGTTAAAAATTGTCTTTACATGTGATTGGGGAAAAATAAATTATTAAACTAAAAAATCTATACCACTTCATATATATGCATGTATATATGTAAATACATACACATGCATATCTTCACCTTACTTGAAATTATTTTTTTTACATATAGCAATGATTTAAATTGTTGCCATGTAGAGAAAAATTAGATAACAAATGAAGAAATAACAAAGCAAAAAAGTGTTATTCATATGCCACAAATTCACAAAAATTACAAAAATGGCAAAAGTCAGTGGTGGAGGAGTTGTGCAAGGATAGGTATACTAATACATTGTTGGTGGAACTGTAAATGGTACAACCACTTTGGAAAGCAATTTGGAATTATGCAAATAAAGAGCTATAATGTCCATATCCTCTGAACCAGAGACTCCATTTCTGGGCTTATACCCCAAGGAAGTGATCAATAAGAAAAAAGTCCCTATATATTCTGAAATACTTACAGCAGCACTTTTTTGTGGTAACTAAGAACTGGAAACAAAGTAGATGCCTATCAACTGGGGAATGGCTACATGAATGCAATGGAATATTACTATGCTGTAAGAAATGTTGAATGTGATGAATGTGGAGAAGCATAGAAATATCTACAGGAATTGATGCAGGGCGAAGTAGAGCCAAAAAACAATATACATAATAACTTTAACAATGTAAATGGAAAGAACATCACACCAAAATATTAAAAATGTAGCAAAATTATCAAGATCATATAAAACCATAAAACCATAAGCCTTGAAAAGTTTATACGATAGATAGCTAACTGAGAGGGTTCTGATTATGCTTCTGGTACAACAGGAAGTTATACCATGTGTTAGGAACATCACATACACATAAAAGCAGCCTTCAATTGAGGCTAAGCATGGGAGGAAATATCAGGCTATTTACCTTGAGTCACTTTGTGCCAAATCTTTTTCATCAGGGGGTCCAAAGTCAGCAATTTCCAATAACCGATTTACCTGAAAAATAAATTAAAATAGTTACCTACATTTTGATAGCATTTACATCTATAAAGCTCTAGTGAAAAGAGCATTAAACTTGCAATTAAGAGAGACCTGGGTTCAAGTCTCAGCTACAATACTTAACAAATTTATTGCTATTAATATACCCAAGACCAGTTCACTTACTACCTGAAGAAAAATCAAAGTGACTTTTTTTGGTTTGTGTTTTAATTAACAGGAAGATCAAAGCAGGGTTAGTACCTCTGCTTGGGGTAGACAAGATGAAGAGAACAGGCAATGGAGAAATGGCAGAACTATTCAACCATTATTTTTAATCTGTGTTTCAACAGGGGAAGACAACTGATAAGAGTGAGCAGGAAAGAGGGACAAATGGTAGAAAAGTACAAAGAATAAGGAGTGGGGCCAGGAGAGAAGTGAACACAGATAGTCTGAGTGCTTCCCCAAGCAGGAACTCATAAATCAGAGAAAGAGACCAAAGGAGTGGAGACATCACCAGATTAAGAGACTGCTAGTTAGGAGGTAGAAAAGTTTAGAATCAGGAGTGGAGCTGGGAGAGAACCTACATAAAGGATTCTGAAATGACTGGCAGTTATGACTGCTGAATGGCTATCAACAATCTTTGAAAGATGAGAGAGTACTGGAAGGAGTGGGAAGGAAAGGACAAATGTCCTAATTTTTTTTAAAGAAGGGTGAAAGTTAAGTTATATAGCCTAGAAAGCTGAACTTCAATTTCTGACAAAATTCTAGCATGTTGTTGTTGTTCATCCTTTGTTTCAAAGAGGACCAATGACATCACAAGGGTGAGGTCTTGACTTGATCAGGAATTGGATTTAAGGGAGGCAGAGTAGCGCAAAGTCATCAGCCTCACACTCTCTTCCAGAGTCACTAAAGTCCAGTGGCAAGACAAAAATCAAGATGACTGGCAATGGCCCAGGACACAGTTAACGACCCTGTCATCTTTTATATCTGACTAAGCTCTAAGCGCTTCACAGCACTTGCTTCAGCCGCCTTCGTGGCTGTTGGAACAAACTGTTCTCATCCCACCATTCTGCCAGGGGAAGTCTCAACATGCTTGGGGTAGACATCCCCCTAATTCAGAGGGGTTTGAAGCCTATCAGTTGCCCTCAACCTGCTTTAGCCTGTCTACCCAGATGGTTTTACTGAAGTGTGGCTACTGTGCAAGCTACAGTTTCTTGAAGTCACAGGTGAGAGCTGGGTGACAAGTAGATACCAAAAGTGGATGAGCAACCCTAAAAAGAGCTTGAAGGCAAGCCCTCAAATCAGAGGTACTCATCCCCCCAGAACACCCTACATACCACTTGGAACTGGCTGAAGGATCCAACAAAAAGACAAGCCAATGTCAACTGAAAAGAGATCTCTAAATAATGCCCCTGGGATCTGTTCTGGGCCCTAGGCTGTTTTGTAGTATTATGATGGTATTGTAATCCATGATTTGGTCAATGGCAGAGATGGTATGATTATCAAATTTGCAGATGACAAAGGCGGACCCAAAAGGTTTTTAATGGCTAGAACAATTAGCCTCATCTGATAAGATGAAATTTAACAGAGATCAATATAAAGTCCTATGCTTCAGTTTAAAAAAAAACCAAACTTCACAAGTTCAAGACGGGGGAATAGTCTGAAACAGACTGGAAAGTTTAGTGGACTACAAGTTCTGTGTCAACAATTTAATATGGCAGTAAAGAAAGCAAATGCTCCTAGGTTGCCTTAAGAGAAGCATAGTATCCAGAAAGAGGGATGTGAAAATCCTTCTGTACCCTACACAGGTCAGAAAACACCTATGTTTGAACACTAAATGCAGATCCAAGAACCACACTCTAAGGCCTGCTGGAATATGTCCAAAAGTGCGTGACGAGGGAGAATATTGAAGATCATATCATAGAAGGATTGATAGAAAGAACTGAGGATGCTTATCCTAAAGATGAGAAAACTTAAAAGGGATTTAATGGACATTTCATATATCTAAAAGACTTCCCTATAGACAGGGATCAGACTTATTTTGCTTGGTCCCAGAGCCAAAAGAACAATGAGTATAAGCTGCAGAAAGGAAGGTTTAGACTAGAGGCAAGAAAAAAATTTCTAAATAAGAATTGTAAAAAAAAAAAGACAACAGGCTGTCCTAGAAGATAGTGAGTCCCATTTGCTGGAGATCATTAAGAATCAGGTAATCATTCCACAGGGATATTGAAGGAGATATTTCTCTTCAGGTATGAGCTAGAAAAGATGAATGAGGTCAGTCCCATGTAACTCTAGGATTCCATAATTCTAGCTGCATCACCTTTAGTATCACTTCATCTCTAAAGCCTGAGTTTCTTAATCATCAAAATGGCAATCCTTATACTTTCAATACCTGCACAATCCCACCTGTCTTAAGAGTACTTTATAAACTTTAAAGTATCATACAGAGATAAGTTATTACCTAAAACAGGGATGGGGAACCTGTGGCCTTGAGGTCGCATGTGGCCCTCTAGGTCCTCAAGTGCAGCCTTTTGACAGAATCCAAACTTCACAGGAAAAATCCTCTTAATAAAAGGATTTGTTCTGTAAAACTTGGACTCAGTCAAAAGGCTACACCCGAGGAACTAGAAGGCTATATGTGGCCTTGAGGCCGCAGGATCCCCACCCCTGATAAAATTATATTTACAAATTTTAATAATGTTGGTAAGCCTAAAATGGGCTCAAGTGCTGATGTTAAAACTTGCATTTACATAGATTCTATCTATATGTCACAATATTGTGAGGAACGGTCAGGTTTTTCAAACTATTTCCTTGAATCTTTGGCACAAAGTAGGCACTTAATAAATGTTTATTGATTACTTAGTATTTTCTCTTAAGTGCTGAACCATTTGAACTGATTTCATGTGCAGCTGTGATTCATTTCCATAAGTATTTCTCTTGGGTGTTTAAAGTATTTTTGAAAAATGCTTCAAATACTGCTATTAAATCTTCCTTTTTATAACATCCCCCAATCCTCTCTTGTGAGCTGAAAGGCTGTTGAGTAGCTTGTAAAAGAAGCAATGCAAATGAATGACTATGGAGGCATCAAAATATGACTTTTATGCTAAAGTGCTATCTCCAACTTGCTGTGTAGTCTTGACCTAAAACAGAAGGAATAAATTAACTACGAGGAAGAAAGATGGCAGTCAATGACCACACACAGGTAAGACCACATTTGTAAAGTATTTTAAGGTGACAAAGGATAAGAGGCAGATTACTTTATGCCATTTCACTAGTGCTTTCACTGGATGCCTAATAAAAAGGCCTATGTCACTTTTCAGCACCTTTCCCCACTAGTTTCTAGTGATGTCCAAATCTAACAACAGGGTTTCACTTTATAGCAATCTACCTTTTGAGATATTTTCCATGAATTTAATATTTCTAACAGCAGAAAATGCCTGAATTAGATCAATATCTCAGCATTACTTAACAAATGCCAAACCAACCATAAGATTTCAGGTTTCATTTCTTGGGAAAAACACATTTCATCAAAGTTGTTCTCTCCAAGTAATGTTTTTGGAGTTTGACAATTATGGTTTTTTAAAAAATATTTAAGAGATTTATTTCATTTGCTATAATCAACTTCCACTAAAGACCTATCTGAATGCTGTATCTTGACATGTTTGACATGGAGTTGACTCTGAATTCTCCAAAGGCCAAGGCTATGCTAATGGAGCACAAATTCTGCCAGGTCCTCACAAGCTGGAAAAGCTTTAAATACAGTTCTGATGATGATAGTTCATGTGTCTGTTAGATGACAACCAACCCAATGAAGTTTAGTTGGCCAACTCTAGGGTGGCCAACAACTCTTAAGGACCATTTTAAGTTATAAAGGAGTTGCAATTGGTGTAAGTGGAAGAACACCCACACTAATGAAATCCCAGATCCCTGAAGTATCATTAAATAACTAATAGCCTAAATCCTTAAAAGTCTCCATTTTTTCAAGTGGAGAAAGCAAGGCAGCTCTACCACCTTCATATTCTCCTTTTTAAAATGTAAAATTTCTGGAAAGGATGTATCTACTATTACTATCTCTATTTTACATATGAAAAAACAAAGGGTCAAAAAGATTAAGCAACTTGCCCAAAGGAAATAAGTAATACCCAAGGATAAAGCTAAAGGAATTGGACATAGACCCTTTGACTCCATTCTGAAGGTCTTTTCTGTCTCTGTATCTTAGCCGGCTATTAGCTAAATACCAACTGACAAAAGTAAGATACAAGAAAGAGAAGACAGGATTGAGAGAGAAATAGGGTTAGCAAAGGGAGGGTTGAAGATTATCAAAAGCAAAATCCATCTACTTCAATAACTATGCCAAAGGTCACATCACTGAAAATTATCTTGCCTGTCACCTTTAGCACAAATCTCACAAACTGTATAAGTCTACAATAAAACTGGAATTTTCTACAGAAATCTCTAAAGAATGAACTAGGATTGACCAGAAGATCTGCAAGCTTTAAAAGGTTAGTTGTTTCACCAGTCATCATTGACAAGTTCAAATGTCATAGTGTAATGATGGGCAGGAAAGGTTGTCATTTTCTTTTTCCTATGGCTGAAGGGCAATTTCAGTAAAGAGGAAAATGTGATCAGAAAATGCCTCCAGCTCTACCATTCCCTACATAAGCTGCAATGGCAGTACCCCTTGTCTCAACTCCAAGACAGTATTTTATACTTAGCAATCAATAAAAAAAAATTTAAAAAAATAACAGCTAGTCAAATGAATGAGAAGAGACTTTAAGAAAATGAAAACTAGATCCTCATTTAATTGAGACAATATGGTATAAAGGACAGGGCTCCTTTACATTTGGATTGTAAATGGACAGGAAATCAGACAGTTACTAGTTGTATGACCCTAAGCAAGTTACTTAACCTCTCTGTGCCTTAGTTTCTTCATCTGAAAAATGAGAGGGTTGTAGGCTATAAAAGTCCCTTCTAGTTCTAAATCTATTATCTGGAAAAGGTTGGGGATAATAATTTAAATATTAATAGATTCAATTTCAAGTTCTTTCAACATGTTCATATGAAGTTTTCCTATCCCTACACTTTAATTCCTTTTCCAAGGCAAGACTGAAAAAGAACATTTTCCTAGCGAGGAAAATAATACATCTGCAAAATAAAATTCACACCAACAATCTAATGTTATTTATATGTGGCATCAGATATTAAGATTTACTTACCTCTGCTATTGCTGCACTTTCTTTATCACGAATAAATACTATTGGAGGAACATTTCTTAGGATTTGACGGGTAATCAAAAGATGCCTAAAAGGAACAGAAGGCCCCAAGAGTTACTCAGCTTTACCATGACATTTACTGAAGAGGTGTGATGATGTTAAAATAAAAACACATTATGACTTACAATCAGAGGCAAGTAGCTAGTTTAGAAATCTAACCTTCTAGAACTAAAATGTCAAGCTAAAAAGTCTCCTGCAGTCCACTGTGACATGAGAAAAAAGATTACAATGCAGAGTCATAATTACACTAGTTTTTGGTTTTTTTTTTTTAAATTAGGTCCCTTAAAGTATTTTTATAGCAAAAACTCATACCTTCTATAATATTTTAAGATTGTGAAAATGTTTTCTTTATAACAATTCTGAGGCATAATTAGTGCAAGTATTATCCTTATTTTACAGATGTAGAAACTCAGAGAGGTAAAGCAATTAACATAGAGCAAGGAAAATTCAAAGCCCATATTCAAAATGATGTCTAACTGCAGGTCAAGGGCTCTTTCTATTACATCATAATATTTTGAATACTGACTTGTATTAAGGAGGAAAGGAAACAAACAAGCAGTGCGCCAGGCACTGTGCTGAGTGCTTTACAAATATCTCATTTGAACCTCACAACAACCCTGGCAAGGTAGGTGCTATTATTATCCTCATTTTACAGCTGAGGAATCTTAAACAGAGGGCATTTGAGCCACCTGCCCAGGGTCACACATAGATAGTTTCTGAGGCAGGATTTGAGCTCAGGTCTACCTTACTCAAGCCCCAGCACCTCATCCCACTATGCCACCTAGCTGTTTAAAGTTCACAAGCTTTCTGATCAACTGTGCCTTTTAATTAGTATATTACCAAGTGAAAAATTTGTTGGCAATGATTCTGTAAAACTCAACTTAAAAACTCCATTATTCAAAATTAAGTGAATAATACAGAATTCACTAGATCACAGAATTTAGACCTAAAAGGGACCAGAAAAATAATTCAATTCCCTTATACAGATGAGGCCAAAAAAGTTTTATGACTTGCTTAAGGCTATGTAGTCTTCTTTAAGGCTCAACTCAAGTGACACATAATATTTATATAGCTTCAATGTGCCAGGCACTGTGCTAAACAGTTTAGAAATATTATCTCATTTGATTCTCACAACAATTCTAAGACTCATCCAGGATCACAGATATCCAGATATCCAGGATCTCCTGACTCCCTTAGCATTGTTAGTACTTTCTCCTTCAATTTTATTGAATTTATTTTTCCATTCATTTATTATTCTACCCCAGGAAAATATAAATTCAAGAGCAGGGACTGCTTTAAATGCTGTCTTTGTATCCTCAGTGCCTAGTATTTAATAAGCACTTAGTATATAGTAGGTGTTTAATAAATATTTGTTGAATAAATAGCTGAGCTGGTATCTGAACGTAGGCATTCTGATACCTATCTGATTATTAGTAATCAAATGAGATAATACATGTAAACTGCCGTGCAAACCTTCAAGTGCTATATAAATGTTAGCTAATATTACATAAAGGTAGTATATGGCATAGTATATAGAAAGCAGACCTCAGAACCAGGAAGACATGAATTCAAGTCCTGCTTCTAAGACATACTGGCTATGCGACCCTGGGCAAGTCACTTACCCTCTCAATGCTCCAGGAAACTTTCTAAGACTATAAGGTTGCAGAAAAGGTGTCAACTTGCATTTGTAGAGGGATTTTCTTCATCTGAGAGCTCCCTATACCACAAGTTACCATTCCCTATCCTGTTATTATTATACATAATTTGAAAATACTTTTGCTGTTGTTTAGTCATTTTTCAGTCATGTCTGACTCTTCACTAGCCCGTTTAGGGTTTTCTTGGCAAAGATACTGGAGGAGTTTGCCATTCTCTTCTCCGGCTCATTTTACAGATGAGGAAAGGGTTAAGTTAATTTCCCAGGATTACAGCTAGTAAGTATCTGAGACTGGATTTTAACTCAGGAAGATAGTCTTTCTGATTCCAGGACTGGCACTCTATCCACTGTGCTACCTACATGCCTTCTTTAAGAATACTGCCAAGCATTATATCTGATATATAATTTTTTCATATAATACAGGTTTAGCTTTCATAAAAAAGATTATGATGATAATATTTAAATTTGTAGTGAGAATACATATGTAAAAATAGGAATTCCTTAGTGCTTAAAGATATAATACAGTCTTTACTATAAAATAAAATCTCAAATATTCAAAAGCTTGAGGAGAGGAACATTTTCTTTAAATACTTTTACTTAAACCTTTTGTCCTTACAACAGTCAACTACCCCCACTCTAGACTAAATCTTCACTAGTGACAACTAAGAAACAACCAAAAACATTTAATACACTGACCACATCTTGTAACTCTTGCAATATTCTATTCTACAGGTTTCTTGGTTCTGTATGTACTGAGGTATGCATTCACCTAGATTTTCAAAGGTTAATTAACAAGCTCACTTTTTAGGGATCATTTAATTTACTTTATTGCAGTCACTACATACACTGTTCTCTTGATTGTACTTATTTCATCATCCACCAGTTCATAAAATATTTCCATGTTTCTCTGAATTCACCATATTCATCATTTTTTATTGCTCAATGATATTCCATTAGATCCACATAACACAGTTTTTCAGCCATTCTTCAAACAGGAGGCAACCACTTTATTTTGAGTTTTTGCTACCATAAAGAGTGCTGCTGTGAATATTTTGGAATATATTGGACCTTGTTTTCTACCATTGACTTCCTTAAAGTATATGTCCAATGGCAGAATTGCTGGGTCAAAGGAATAGAATATTCTCAAAGTTAGTAAGATAAATTACGTTACTGAAAATCTTTCTAAAATATTAATTAGGTAAACAAGACCGTGAAACAACTTAACAGAATAGCCTTGTGTTCCATAAGTCCAGAATCACAAACTACTACGGTAAGAACTCCATATTTGACAAGAATTGGTAAGAAAACTAGAGAGCTGTCTGGCAGAAATGAGATTTAGTGCAACATCTTACACCATGTGAAATAATAGTTCCAAAAGGAGGTAAGACCTAAATATAAATCATATCATACAAAAAAATGAGTAAAGTATTTTGTACTGCCCCAGAAGAAAAATTCTCAAAGCATGAAAGTAATCAAAAGATAAAATAATTTTATTACATAATTTTTTTTAAAGTTTGCATTAAAAAAATAAGAAACTGAAATGGGAAAAAAAAGTTTGCTAAAACTATCTCTGAAAAAAGTCTGACATTCAAGATATATAAGGAAGTGATACCAACATATAATTGCTAATAATAGCTAACATTTATATAGAGCTTTAAAGTTTGCAATGTACTTTACACAAATCACCTTGAGACTCAACAAACTTGAGCTATTACGGTAGGAGCTATTATGATCTCTATTTTACAGACAAGGAAACTGAGGTTAAGAAAGCAAGTCCAGTATCAGGTTGCCTTCTATAGAAGAAGGGCTATTCCCTACTAGGTAAGTGGCCAAATGATAGGATCAGAAATTCAATCTAGCAACAATCATATGAAAGAATGATCCAAATCACTAATAAGAAAAATCAAAACCACTCTGAACTTTTACTTCACAACCATAATGAGCAAAGATGATAAAAGATGAAAATGTTAAACAATATTGGTGCTGTGGACAGACAGGCTCATTAATGCACTGAGGTGGAACTGTGACTTGGTCTAGCCATTGTGGAAAATGATGTGGAATTATGCCAGAAAAATCCCTATTTGTTCTCTTTGATTCAGCAATACCAGCACATACTCCAAGGTAAAAGAGAAGGAAAGATCACAAATACACAAAAATATTTACAGTAGCACTTTTTATAATAGCAACCAAACAAAATAGGGACCAAAGTGAGAAGGGCAGAACAAATTGTGTTGTGAGAAATGACAAACAGGAATCAATAAACAAATATCAAAATATTTATTATTTACTATATGTAAGACATTATTTACAGTATTTACTTATTGTTGTAAGTAATGTAAATACTGTAATGTGCAAGGCACTGTGTTGGGTTCCAGGGATACAAGCACAAAGAATGAAACTATCTCTACTCTTAAGATGGTTACATTTTAACAGAGGAAGGAGACAACATGAAAATATATACAACATAAACATAAAGTTAATAGATATAAGTATGTACAAAGTAGTATGGGAGAGAGAAAAGGGGATCAGGAAAGGTTTCTGATAGAAGACAATGCTTAAGCTGTATCTTCAAGGAAGAAGGCAACTCTATGAAGGGATGGTAAGGAGAGAGTGTATTTCAGGCATGGAGGATGATTCCTGCACAGACAGGGAAATGGAAGATGAAGTCTTATGTGTGAGGAACAGAGAGGTCAGCTTAGCTGAATTAGAGCGCAATAGAGGGAGATTAGAAAGACAGGTCAACGTCAGATAGTCTAGGTCGTTAAAAGCCAACTAGAGAAGTTCTAGGGGAAACCATTAGAGTTAATTGAGTAAGGGAGTCCCGTGACCAGATCTGTGCTTAAAGAAATCACTATGTAGTATGCAGGATGGACTGGAGGAATGAGACAGGTGAAGGAGGGAAAACAACTAGGGGGTTGTTGAAATAATACAACGAAGAAGTGAAGAGGGCCTAAATTAGGGTGGTCATTATGTAAGCAGAGAGAAGAGGCTGCATATGAGATATTGTAGAGATAGAAAAATGGGAAGATTTGGCGACTGAGGCATCCAGGATAATATTGAGGTGATAAACCTAGGCGAGCAGATGGTGGTACCTTAGTCAGATATGATGAAGTTTGCAAGAGAAGGTGGGATAAGGTAAAAGATGCTCTGTTCAGTTTTGGATGGTTTATCAGGGGTGAGGAACCTGCAGCTTCAAGGCCACATGTGGCCTCAAGGCCGCGGGTTCCCCACCCCTGGTTTAAGTTTTAACATGTCTCCGATCCAATGATGGAGGACCTTTTGAACTGTGCAGGGTGAAGTAAGCAGGATCAGATGAATAATTTACCCAATTATCACAACAATCCAAAAGAAAACACTACTGAACCAATTGTGATTTCAAAGTCTGCTTTGCTCCTCTTACCAGAGGTGGTAGAATATAGCTACAGAATAAGGTATATATTTTCAGACATGACCAATGCGTTGATGTTGTTTAGGTCACAGCTATATGGTCTAATGGTTTTCCCTACTTTCTTCCATTTAAGCCTGAAATCTGCAATAAGAAACTCATGATCTATGCTACAGTCAGCTCTAGGTCTTGTTTAAACTGACTGTATAGAGCTTCTCTGCCTTCAGCTGCATATATAATCAATAGTATATAATCAATCAGATTTCTATGTTGACCATCTGGTGATGTCCATGGGTAGAGTCGGTTTTGGAGTGTTGTAAAAGAGTGTTTGTTTTGACCAGTGAATTATCTTGACAAAACTGCCTTGTTTCATTTTGTCCGCTAAGGCCAAACTTGCCTGTTATTCCAATTCTCTTTTGATTTCCTACTTTAGCATTTTAATCCTCTATGATGAACAGGATGCTGTTTTTGTTGTTATTTCTAGAAGCTGTTGTAGGTCTTCATAGAACTTATCAACTTTGGCATCTTTGGCATCAGTGGTTAGAGAATAGATTTGTATTACTATGATGTTAAACAGTTTGCCTTGGATTTGAACAGATACCATTCAGTCACTTTTGAGACTACAGTCTAGTACTTCTTTTCTCACCCTTTTATTGACTATGAAGACTACTCCATTTCTTCTAAGGGATTTTTGCCCGAAGTAGTATATATAGTGACCATCTGAATTAAATTCACCCATTCCTGTCCATTTAAGTTCACTGACACCCAAGATGTCAATATTAAATCTTTCCATCTCCTGTTTGACCACATCCAGCTTCCTTAGTTCACAGATTTAACATTCCAGGTTCCTATGTGATACTGATCTTTACAGCGTTGGATTTTCCTTTCATCACCAGAAGCATTTGCAATTGAACTTCCTTTAGGCTTTGCCCCAGTCACTTCATTAGTACTGGAGCTATTTGTAGTTGTCCTCTATCTTCCCTAGAAAAGTATTAAATATCTTCTCATCTACCAATGTCATCTCTTTTATCATTTTATTACTGTCTATGGGTTTTTCTTGACAAAGATACTGGAGTGTTTTGCCAATTTCTTCTCCAATGGAAACCCTAAAAGATGAAGCTATTAAAGTGCTGCACCCAATATGCCTGCAAATTTGGAAAACACAACAGTGGCCACTGGATTGGAAAAGATCAATTTATTTTCCAATCTTAAAGAAGGGCAATCAATGCCAAGAAATGCTAAAATTACCATACAATTGTGCTCATTTCATGTGCCATGAAGGTTATGTTTAGGATTCTGCAAGCTATACTTCACTAATATGTGAACCAAAAATTACCAGAAGAGCAGGCTGGTTTTCAAAGAGGCAGAGGAACTAGAGACTAAATTGTCAACATTTGCTGGATTATAGAAAAAGCAAGGGAGTTCCAGAAAAACATCTACTTCTGCTTCACTGACTATGTTAAAGCCTTTGACTTCGTGGATCACAACAAAATATGCTAAGTCCTCAAAGAGATGGGAGTACCAGATCAACTTACTTGTCTCCTGAGGAACCTGAATGAGGGCCAAGAAGCAACAGTTAGAACTGAACATAGAACTGATTGGTTTAAAATCAGAAAAGGAATACGACAAGGCTGTATACTGTCAGTTTATTTATTCAACTTACATGTAGAGTACATCCTGTGAAATGCCAGGCTGGATGAACCAAAAGCCAGAATTAAGGTTGCCAGGAGATATACCAACCACCTCAGATATGCAGACAATACTAGATAGCAGAAAGTGAAGAGGAATTAAGAAGCCTCTTGATAAGGGAGAAAGAGGAGAGTGTAAAAGTCAGCTTGAAGCTAAACATAAAAACTAAGATCATGGCAAATGGTCCCATCACTTCCTGGCAAACAGAGGGAGGACAAATGAAAACAGTGTCAGATTTTATGTTCATGGGCTCAAAGATCATGGCATATAGTGATTGTAGCAATTAAAATGCTTGCTCCTTGGAAGGAAAGCTATAGCAAATCTGGACAGCATACTAAAAAGAGACATCACCTTGCCAACAAAAGTCCACAAAGCTATGGTTTTTACAGTAGCAGTGTATGGCTGTGAAAGTTGGACTATAAGGAAAGCTGAGTGCTGCAGAACTGACACTTTCAAATTGTGGTGCTGGAGAAGACTTGTGAGAGTCCCTTGAACAGCAAAGAGATCAAACCATTCAATACTTAAAGACATTGATTTAGATTATTCGTTGGAAGGTCAAATACTGCAGCTGAAGCTTAAATACTTTGGCCACATAATGAGAAGATGGGACTCACTGGAAAAGACCCTGATTTCGGGAAAGACTGAAGGCAAAAGGAGAAGAGGAAGGGAGAGGCTGGGATGGACAGAGTATGGTGGAAACAATAAACAAGAATTTGGACAGGCTTTGAAAGACAGTGGAGGACAAAAGGACCTTATGCACTATGGTCCATGAGGTCATGAAGACATAACTGAACAACAAAACAACAATGTGTTAATATGTATCATTTCATTTAGCTAAACTAAGTTATTGATTGTTATGCAGGAATGTTCTACTTGAGTCAATGGGAAGTGATAATACATCAAAAGATCATCAATAAAACATTTTAGAAAATATGGCTCTATATCCCTTCATTTATTTTTATAGAGAATATAATTTAACCTTTCTGGGATTTGTGTTTTGGGATCGCATAAAACCTTCAAAACCATCATTATACACACCAATTTTCATGGCATTTTAATACAGATAAAGAAGATTGGGCAAAAATATGTGCTTCCCTCTGGGCAGCTAAAAGCTGCAGAGGATAGAGTGCTGAGCCTGGAGGTAGGCAGAAGAAGTAGGTTAAAACTAGCCTCAGATACCTACTAGCTGTGTGACCCTGGGTAAGTCACTTAACCATGTTTGCCTCAGTTTCCTCAACTGTACAATGAGCTGGAGAAGGAAATGGCAAACCACCACACTATCTTTGCTAAGAAAACCCCAAAAAGGGTTACGAAGAGTCAGACACAATTGAAACAACTGAGGAACAACAGTGTGCTTATCCTAGGAAGTTGCCTATAAGTTACTTTTTAAAAAATTAAATTCTTTATATGAGCTTATGTCCTTGAAATTTGCTCCTTTCATCTAAAAGTACAGTGTAAAATAGGGAATTTTTGATTAACTGAAGTCTATAGTTAGTTGAGATGAACAAGACCCTATTTTATCTAAACTCTGTTTCTTCCTCAAATCAATAAAATGTTTAATTGAACTGAGTTTCAGTTAATGAGGCATTATTTGTGTACTTTTAGCCTGAGGAAAACAGAATCTTGCAAGCACTAAATAGAAAGTACTTTCTGTGAAATGCCAAAATATGCTATGAATTTCTTAGAAAACAACTCAACACTTTCCATAAAAGGGAATGTAATTAATAAGGGAAAATCTAAGAAAATTTAACTACAAATAAAACACTGGGATGTTGAGGGAAAGCTTTAGTACAGGATGAAAACTATAATATAGAATCATTTAGAAAGCAAAATGGTAGCACCTGAAACGTGAAGCACTCTTCTGTAAAACTGTTTCTATGTGATCATTCCGCTCAGCGGAGAGGGATGTCTTCCAGTACACACGACAGGCTGAGAAATCTGGGGCAAGAGACACCTGAAATACCATCATCCCACCCCCAACCAAAAAAAAAAATTATCAGGTTAATCAGGTATCGGTTCTCCGAAGCTTTGTGTATCCAAAAAATTCTTTCAGTGAATAAATGACAAAAACTAGTATGTAACTCTTCACAACTTAACAAACACCCCAACTCTTTGTGGCCAGTGCTTTATCCCCAGGGGTCCCACTCTCCTAGAGTGTAAACAATGCAATTATTGCTATAGGAGTGGGAAAGTAGAGTTGATGAAATATACAAAGCCTCAACATTTTACAGAACCTCAAGAATTGGAAGGGTCTCCAGAGCCCTTCTAGTCCAAGTTATTTCTGAACAAGAATCCCATTTACAACAGATCTGACAAGTAGTCAGACAAATGGTCTCCCCAGTAGAGAAAGTTCCTTGGGAGCAGGGACCACTCTGTTTTGGTCTATGTAGCCCCAGGGACACTCAGTACCTGGCACATAGTAAAAAACAATGTTTGTTAGTCTGGTCATCATTCAGAACCACATCTTCGCTATAATCAAAAAACTACAGAATTGGAAAGATACTAAGAAATCATCTAATACAGTCACTACTATGTTTCTACAAACCCCCTAATTACCTCCATATTTGGCTCCCATGACACTTAGTACACTCACCCCACTGGTACTCAACCTAGTAATAGGAAGAAAAGACCACCATGCAGACGTTTTATTTCCAGTGTTCTTCCTGATATGGGCGAATTCACTTTAAAAGGATGGTGGAAAATTGCTTTTATTGCTGTTTAGTCATTTTTGGTAGTGTCCAAATCTTTGTGACCCTTTCGGTTTTCTTGGGAAGACACTGGTGTGGTTTGCCATTTCCTTCTCCAGTTCATTTTACAGATGAGGAACTGAGGCAAACAGGGTTAAGTGACTTGCCTAGGGTCACACAAGTAGTAAGTGTCTGAGGATGGATTTGACCTCAGGTCTTCCTGCCTCCAGGTCTGTCATTCTACCCACTGTACCACCTAGCTGCACACAGGAAATAGTTTACTTGAGGTTAAAAAACAAAAACAAAAACAAAAACAATTGACCTACTCATCTCATCCTCACATCTTCTAGCAGTCTATCCTTCTATTTATGCATTTGCCTGCACCTGCACATTCTTATTTTACCTTTTAGCTTTTTTAAAATATTAAGTTTTAATACTACCCCCACAACCTACAACTACTCTTTGGGCATGAAATGGTAACTGTCAATGTGACAGGAGAGGACTCCTCATGCATAATCTACATGAGTCCTGAACCTTCCAATGGCACAATTCTTCAGAAACTGTGGCCATTATAATTTACCTTAGAAAACTCCACATTCAGATCATAGACATCTTGATTCACTTCAGAGGTAGAGATCAAGTCTGACAATGCTTGATAAAGAATGCCATCCAGGGCCCTTTTGCGTATACTATCTTCTTTCCTCGTCTTCTTTGAAGTATGTTTCATTAGATTTTCCCAGCTGGATGTATTGTGTGTCTTCAGAGAGTAAAATAACACATAGGTTAAAAATTACTAATACCTTGGTACATTCAACTCCAACAAAATTTAAAGGAAAGGATATCAAGAATTGTTCAGATGGCATCTAGCCACATCCATAAATGTAAATAGCCCACAAAAATCAGTCTCAGTTGTTTTGGCTTTTAGTGAGAAAATGCTAATTGTTTGTTTTACAGGTGACTTTTTTGGTATTAATATAGTAACCCTGTTACTAACCCTGTTAGAAGCATTTACCAACACTGTGTATTTACTTTCATATCTATATCTGTAAATCTAAATTCACTAGCAGTCCACATAGATTTTTGTGTGTGCAATGACTGCATTTGAGGTAGCTATAAATTGAATCAGTCACATTCCATTAATCTGTAAACAGACAAATTTCAGAAAACAGTGCTGGTAAATAATCCTGTGCTCTCAGCAAAAAGAGCAAATTTTCCTTTTCTTTTTGCTATCTGTAACAACTAACCCTACTTATATAAAGATACTCCTGTCTTATAAAAGAGGCAAGTGGGTAATATAGTGATGACTGGCAACCTTTTTGGAACCTTATTCTAATAAATACATCTTCTCTCCAACCCTGCAGAGGAATGAGAATGACATGCTTACAAATGTGTCCAGGCTTACCTAGCAAAAGATTCTAGGACTCAAATGTTACCAGCATCACACTTTACTTACTAGGTAAGGTCCCAGGGAAGGGCTTTCATACCAGAACTTCTTTCTGTGGGGAAAACAAAAAGATTACATTTGCTTTGATGGTAACTTGAAGAAAACAGTTATAACTATCTACCTAGACTCTTGAGGACACCACAGCTTTGTAACTAAAGCACTACACTTAGACATGACGTTACTAAGGATCTAATTAAAAACAATTTACAAAATAGTGGGTAGAGAAAATAAAGTCAATTCAAGTCTCAAGAATTTAAAATTTGTTCTGTTTAACTGTATAAAGGCAGAAAAAAATTCTCAAAAACCTCTCTTCCAAACTACCCAAAAGTATCTGGGTTGTATTCATAAACACTAAAAAAGTCAGTGGCATTAGTAGTTCTGTGGCAATCAAGTTTTTGGTGGTTTTTTTTTTTAAATGCAGCTACATACTTTTTTATCATTTTTAAAAGCCAAGTAAGAACCTAAAATATTCATGGCCATGTCTGAAACCTCATTATTAGGATCCATAGAATGTTACCTTTAAAATGAAAGGGATTTTTCACTTGATTCTATAAAACTATTCTCCATAAAAATGAATGGGCATAGTGTCCAGAAGTATCAATGCAAAAACAGTAAATATCTTGTTACCCTAGAGACAGTTTTACAGTTTTAACAATAACATAACTGCTACTTCTAAGAAGTTGGTACAGATTGGTAGGAGGAGCCATATTTCAGAGAGGAGACAACTCAAGACATTGATTTATCCCAAGCCACTCACTCACCCTAAAGTGGTTCCTACCCATCCCTCGTGCCAGTCCAGAGGCAGACATACTCAACTGTTCTCTTCTAGATACAAGGGCTTGATTTTCAACTTGACCAACCCGATAAACTTCCCACGTGCTGCATATACCATAAATGTTTTTAAGCACTTAGGTTTCCCCAAGCTATACAAATGCTCATTTGAAATCCCCAACAAATATATGTTGTTTAGAAACAACTAGTACATAATCTTTCTGTCCAATCAATTACACTTTGGATGACTTCAAGTACTAAGGACAGAATCTGTCTTCCTTCACACTGCTCCTTAAATGCTGAAACCTTAAAAGCAGAAATGCCATATTCTTGGGGGTAGGAAGGAGGAGTGAAAAGTTCCTAACCGGGTTAGCACAGGCCAAGGTTTTTATAACACACAGCAAAGATTCTCAACAGTTCTGGGGCTTTTTTACACTTTTAAAAATTGAGGACTCTCCCTCCAAAGAAATTTGTTTATATGGATTTTACATGTATTGATATTTACTGTAGTAGAAATTATATCATCTTAGTAAATTATGAAAATAATTCTGAACTCTTAGAGTGCCTGAAAGGGTGTCAGGATGCCTTCAGAGGTCCCCAGACCAGAAGTTGAGAACTACTGGTTTAAAGTATTAGGCTATTCTTTTATTAATCTCATATAATATAAAAGTCAGAGTTTAGAGTTAATACTAGAATCCCAGCACAGCTATAAATCACAGGTTAATGCGCCAATAGTGCCTACTGAAATTTTCCACTATAAACATTCAAACTTTTCCATTTTACAGAAATGTTCAAAATTCAATACTTCCCACATTATTACCCAGAATTTTACGACGTTTTCTTTTGACGACCTGATAAATCATCATCAGGAATACTCTTCATAAAATGACAGGGCTGGACAAGATGATCTCTAGAAGTCCTTTCCAGCTCTAAGACTCCATGGAACTTAAAGGGGTGGAGCCCTCACCCCCCAAGCCACCCTCTTGAGCATTTTTCTCTTCTTGTCCTAATACAATGTAAGCAAATAAGCTACCTGTTGTTCTATTGTTGGGGCTCAGTAAGTCAATATGGAAAGGGTACATAACACCTGCAATCAGAGACTCTTCGTTTCAACTTTGGTTTCTCTACCTACTACCTGTGGCACCCTAAGTTCCTCAACCTCCTCTGGGCCTCGGTTTTCCATCTGTAAAATGGGAAGAGGGAGTGGGTTGGACTAGATAGCCTCTAGGCTCGCTTGCAGCTCTAAACTGAAGAGCCTATGATTTGGGGGATCAAGCAGCCAGAAGCTGATGAGTCTCAAACTGTCAGTAGATGGAGCTCCACAGCAACTCCAACCCCAACAGTCCCTGGATGTCACATCTCCCCTTCGGAAAAAAGGGACAGCTAGCATTGACGGGACGCTTTAACGTTTGCAAAGCGCTTTACGTCGATTATCTCCCTCCATCGTAAGGCAGGCGCCGTTATTGTTACTACTATCAGTATTACCCCCATTTCATACATGAGTCCGTCGATAATCGACAAGCACTTTAGAGGTGCTGCAGGGAACTGAGGCTGCGGGAGAGGGAGGGACATGCCCAGGATCCGTCGGCCACGGGGGCTGACGGTGAGCGCTCCACCCACCGCACCACCGAGCTGCTTCCTTCCCCGTCCGAAGCCCATTTACTTGGTTTTCGAAGCAAATTTCTTGATCAAATTCTTATTGCCGCAGGCGACGGGAGACCCGTGCAGGCCCCGGCCCAGGGGCCGGCCCGGAAGGAGGCCGGGCACTGCGGGGTCGCCGCCTCCGCCGGCCTCAGGGCTCAGCCGCCGACTCCGGGCTCCGGCCGCCACGGCTCCGCTCCCCCTCCAAGCAGCCACTTCCGACTCCCTGCAGGAGAAGCAGCGGGATCGCCCCAACGCGACCCACATGGCTCCGACCGCCCCCGCAGGCTCCACAAACGCAAGAGCGCGCTAGAAACCCAGCCCAGGGCAGTCCCGGAAGTTCCGGCAGCGAGACGCCAGCTCCCCCACGCGGCGATTGGCCGCGACGAAGGTGGCCCCGCCCACCGCGCTGGTGACGTCACCGCCTTACGAAGGTGAGAGCGCCTCAGGGCTCGCGGAGCAAGAGGTGCCACCTGGTCACAAAGTGGTGATGTCACTCCTCCTACCTCCCAGGCCGCCTTCCCAAAAGCCCAAGGGCTTTTTTCCACCTTTAAAACCCCATTCCTCCACATTTTTAAGGAGAATCGGATTCCCAGGGTCATGATGTAAAGAAGAGAATATACCTAATGGAAAGACAGAACAAAAACTTTTATTCTACTAGGGGGCTGCAAAGTTGTTAAAAACAGGGATGGTGATGGCAAGCCCTTCATACCTTTGTGACATCTCGGTGTTGCGCCCCCTTTCCTCTGACACGGCCACCAACCCGGTGCACCATCTCATGCACCCTCTCATCTCACAAGTCTCTCTCCATCCATCCTTCACCCAGCTGTCAAATTGATCTTCCTAAAGCACGTGTCTGACAATGGTACATCCAATCACACATGCTCCACAAACTTTGATGGCTCCCTATTACCTCCCTGACCATGTTACATCCACCCACACAACTCCCGATTCACTTCAGTGGCTGACTGTTACCTCCAGGATCAAATACAAAATTTGTTTAGCTTTTAAAGCACTTCATAACCTGGACCTCTCCCACCTTCCCAGTCTTTTTATACCTTACACCCTTTGCCCACCTCAAACTCAGTGATACTAGCCTTCTGTATATTCCCTGCACAGAACACTCCATCTTCCAACTCCTACTCAGAGTATTTTGTTGGCTGTCCCCCATGTTTGAAACACAGCCTCCTTACCTCCCTCTGGTTTCCCTGGCTTTCTTCAAATCTCAATTACACTCCACCTTCTGCAAAAAGCCTTCTGTCTTCCAATCTAACCTTAGTCAGAACTTCCCTCTGTTGATTATCCTTGAAGTCAACCTTTTGTGTGCCAGAGTCACACACCGCAGGTTACAGACAGGCAGGTCAGGAATCAGATAGCAGTTTAATTTCAAAGTGAGAGAAAGGCTTGCAAACTAGGACATGTGCCAGAGTTCTACCCCTAGTGTGTGTGTATGTGTGCATGTTGGGGTGGGGGTGAGGGGCAGTTCTGAGGCAGTGTGGGGAGATCTCAATACTTATACCAATGGCTGGAAAGTGAGCTATATAGCCCTGACAATGAGGGATAACAGCAACAATGTGACAAGTTTGATTCATAGCAGGACTTCATGTCTGGAATATGGGCACTACAGGTGCTTGTCCAAGAGACCTCAGAGACCCCCTAATGCTGGTGTGAAATAATTCTGGGATTTTGCTGGGCCTGATATAAGCCACAAAGGATTGTTGTTATGCCAAGCTCAGGGCTTATGCCTTAGCTCTGGAAAACAGGGTGTCTCCTAAAATCTTGACATTTCCCCCTTTTGGTCAAAGGGGGTGATGGGTCTGAAAGAACCCCTACCCTAATAAACAATAAAGGAGAGTCAGATATAAGCCAAGATGCCACAAGAGGCCATTTGGGTCAGGACAAGATATTGCCCAGAGGGTTAGTTCCTTGAGGGGACCTATGGCAGAAGTGTGTCCCAGGTATCATTGCTAGCCATTGTTTGCTTATAAGCAGAAAGAGAGGAGGGCCAAGAATGTAGGGGGAGAAAATGCCAACACATGCTTGAATCAGGGCCTTGGTGATTGGGAACATAACCAAAAGAAAGAGGAAAACACTAGGACAGTGTACTCAGCCCTCATCCAAAATCATGGGACAGCTATCTCATCTGGATGGTGGCTGCTTCTTGGTCTGCACTAGAGGAAGCTTGAGGTTCCTGGAGGGTTTTTGCCATCCATTTAGGAGCAGGAACTTTCTTCAGATGATTCAGGAGTCCACACCCACAAATTTGGCAGCTGTAGGAGTAGTCAGAAGAACCTGGTAGGGGATCTCAGACACAATGACTGATCGATCAGTACATGGCCAGTTTTCAAATAAGAAAACTCTTTGCATGAATCTTTGGATCTGAATTTCTGGTCAGCATAACATAAGTCCTTAGTTAAGAGTCTCTAAACAATGCGTAGAGATGATCCAGTTTCCCAGCCACACAGGGCTAGGTTCAAACAATGCAATAACATTTTTCTCATAATTCCCATAAGAGCATAATTACTTTAAGTCAGGTACAGATCAGACTACTTGGCTCACAAAGGACTACTTTTAAGAAAGGATATTTACATGTCACCAAGATATCCAAGAAAACTTAAACATAAGCATCTTAAAACAAAAGACTAAAGCAGTACAATTTATCACCAATATTAACTGACATCAAGTCTCCTTGTATCCTAGTAACCTATTCTAAATATCCATTTAATCAGCACATTTTGAGTCCCAGATGTCTCATGTAGTTTTCTGGTCCCTAAATATCTTTTCTTGGACAATAAGCTTATTCTCAGGGCTCTGCTTTTTTGGTTCCAAATCTAGAGGTTTCTAGATAATTCTGACTTAATATAATTTAGTACAATCACTTAAATTTGCTTCTCCAATTTTGAAACTTCAGAGAATTTCAGTTTATATAACATTTGTTGTTTCTATTCTTACCTAAATCCTGTACCTGATATAGAATTTTTAAAAAAAAATTTTATAAGCTACTTTTCTGTTTCTTAGCCAGCATACCAGATAGTTTTGATAATTACTGCCTTATAATATAGTTTAAGATCTGATACTACTAAACCTCCTTCCTTTACATATGTATTTTTTTAGTTCCTTTGCTACTGTTGACTTTTTGTTCTTCATTTTTATTATATTGGTCCTGCCTACCCATGAATAATTTATATTTCTCCAATTATTTAAATCTTCTATAGTTCCTGGGTTTTTTTTGGCAGATGTACTTCAGGTATTTTATACTGTCTAGAGTTATTTTAAATGGAGCATCTCTTATCTCTTCTTGAAGGGTTTTGTTTGTCATATTGTCTGCAAAAAGAGATAGTTTTATTACCTCATTCCCTATTTTTATTATTTCTTTCTCTTCTCTTATTGCTATTGCTAAGATTTCCAACACAATATTGAATAATATTGGTGACAGTGGGCATCCTTGTTTCACACCTGATATTACTAGAAAGGCTTCTAGCTTATCCCCATTACAAATGATACTGACTGATGGTTTTATAGAAACATGATTTTTATCAATTTAAGGAAAAAACAATTTATATCTATACTTTCAAATGTTTTTAATACAGTTATGTTAATAGTTTTCCTTATGTTACACCATCCTTGCATGCCTGGTATAAATCCCATTTGGTCATAATGTATATGTGTAATCTTTTTGCATCCATATTCATTAATGAAATTGGTCAATAATTTATTTTCTCTGTTTTTACTCTTCCTGGTTTTAGGAATCCGAATTATATTTGCTACATAAAAGGAGTTTGGTAGGATCCCTTCTTCACCTATTATTCCAAATAAATTATTTAATATTGGAATTAGTTGATCTTTAAGTGTTTGATGGAATTCACTTGTAAATTTGTCTGGTCCTAATGCTTTTTCTTAGGAAGCTCATTTAAGATCTGTTCTTCTGCCTTTAAAATTATCAGATACTATAAAAATGGGAAAATAATTTCACTTTCTTTACCATTATCAATACAATTTATGTGTAAAATCCTTAATTAATAAATCCTTAATCCAATTTTGAGAACTTATTACTAAAACATACTCAAAGCCTGAATTTCCATCATAAATTTTGGAAGCCAGTCATACACATTTGTATACAGTTCTTAGAGAAAAAGTCTACTCCTGTTGCTTTCTCAAAATTTATTATTCCATTTACTTTGAAAACATTATATCATTTTCCCCTTAGGAGAATATCATCCCTACATTATAATTTGACTACAAATATAGGTTAAAATTGTAAGATATTCATATTTTCCTCCTATTATAGTAACTCAGAGATGTTCCAATATCAATCATTTATTTAATAGATTTAGTATAGTACTTACACAACTTCTTGATTGTAGAAATTTGCTATAAAAGGAAAAAGAGGGACATAGTTATAATTGTCATATATCATAACAGGAGGCCATTATGGGAGACACATGAAGGGATGAATGGAAGTTTACTTTATTTACTGTTAGCTATTGGAAAAAAAAAATGAAAATCTATGAGCTTTTAATCTCACTAAGACAGGCACTTACAGATATAAAGTATAAAAAGTAAAAATAAGCCTTTGTGATCTGTCAGGTTTCCATCATTATGAACTTTCCACCCAAATAAATCATTTAAGATGTACTTCAACAGGAAGGCCACTGACAGTAGCCAGAATGCTTTCAACCGTATTTCCTATTACTAAATGCAGACTTTGATGAGTTGTGTTTCCAACATAAGGTGTCAAAGTAACATTCTTTAACAAAGAATGAGATTTAAAACACAAATGCGTTGAAAAAATTATTCAGGTTTCACTGATTACTTTTAAAATTATTATACTAAAGTTTCTTTTTTGTTACATTTATAGGAATATAAATATTTGTAGGAGATTAAAAAAGAATACAAAAAAATTCCATTTGATTCATGGAGGAATAGAATCTTAGAACCAGACAAGACCTTAAAGATTCTCTAGTCTGATATTCTCATTTTGCAGATGAGGGAACTAGAAGCCCAGAATAAGGATATACAATGAATTAGTGGCAGAGCCATTGCCAGAACCCAGGACTAGTAGGAGTAAAGAGATACTGAGACCAAAAAAGTGTGAGAAACCCTGATCTAGTCCAATATCCTCATTTTACAGATGAGGAAGCTAGGTAGTCAACCTGGAAAGAGAAGACTGGATAGAGACACAAAATCCGACTTCAAACATTTGAAGAATATGTAGACAGTGTGATAGCTTTGCTTTGTTTTGCTTAAAATGGTGGACCTAGGACTTCTATGTAGAAGTGACGTGAAGTTTTCTTACATTGAATCAAAATCTA